TGGGGGACAAGATTAAGGACCCCAATGGAAATAAGTTAGACAGTCCTCGATGACGCACTGACTTTCTTGGGTTATCCTGGGTGGCTAACCCTCCGGGGTTAAAAATCCGAACGAAATTATCTCTTATCTACAATACTACTGCTAATTACAGGTTTAGTTAGCACTTGGTTATGATAATAATAATATTACTAATGTGGTGCTTTCTTTATACATCTTAATTTTTGTCCAGTTCGAATCCACTGTTACTAGTCCTGCCCAGAATGAAATATTTTTAATACCGTGTTCAACTCCCTTTTAATTTACTTAGATCCTTCATAGCCAGAATGGGTTAGTAAGGTTATCACAGCTGGAACCTCTGTTACCTTTGAGAATAAAGATATTGAGGATCTGTTTAGTATAGGCTGGTAGGCCTGCTGTATTGGTCCACTCTTATGTTCATAAATCATATCTGGTATTTCTCAGGGAAAAATTGGGAAAACAAATTTCCGGACCTATTTGTTTACAGATTACAAGTTCAGTGCTTTTAATGTGTCATCGATGACGCAGGGGAGAAGATTAACCTTGTCATCCTTCACTGTTTGTTTCTCATCGCCTTTATGTCTAGTGTGTAATATGGAGACCGGAACTGATCAGCCTAATACAAATGGGAACCAGCGATGACGGTTTCAGTAAAGCCTCGCTTGTCTGTTTCCTGATGCTGCCTCTGTTATGATGCTGTGGGTGCCTTGTTTTTGTTTGTTTGCTGTTAGTACAATGTTTTTGTTTTGTGTATATCTTCTGTATGAATAATCCTGTGGATGTCGTCTGTAAGAGTAATCATGTGGATGTCGTCTGTTTGATTAAGCCTGCGTGTAAAAGACGTAACCTCAGGACACTCGTAAATGCAACCCAACGAAGCGTAACGTAAGTTTGTTCATCAGAGTAAATCGTTGATTTTACTTTGGCAAAATAATATAATTCAGGATGAAATAGCTATTCCCTTTATAACTTTTAAGACCAGCCAAAGTACGTACTATAAATATTTCCCGGAATTTTATCCTCCCTCGTGTGAGGCTTGTAAGAGTAGCAATGAAATACGTATCCTTTGATCTGGCCAATGTTATATCCATTATAACTGTTGGAGAAACGTTCAGGCAAGGGTATGTAGAGAATAAATAAGAAATTCTGGGATGTAAGTAAATGAGATTTTGTTAAAGTTTTAGTAAGAAATATTGGAGTGTCAATATCAGTAGCATGTGTAAATGACACTCTTTGGACTGAAGATGCTTGCAGCTCTTAAACGAGGACTGGAGACACAGAAAATGATAAGCCATAACTTGGACCCCAGGAGCTTCCTTCCATCTAGTTTAGTATCTCCTGAAGATGGTTTATTTATTTATTTATTATTTATTTATTTCGAAATTTTAGCATACATACAGAGGTGAAAAGAGATGAAAAGAAAATGTTAGTTATTTCTTTATTATGAAATGTTTTATTTATACATATACAATAACAAAAATAATATTAATCTTTATTCCTACACAGTACATCATACGATTGATATTGAATTAGTTGACAATATGGGCATGACTCACGAAACTGTATTGACACGATTCCAAACAAACCATACCACGGGTGGGGTTAGAGCCTGCGATCAGTCTCAAGACTCCAGAGTTTTGAGACTGATCGCGGGTTCAAACCCCACTCGTGGTATGGTTAATATTGGCATTCTTTCTAGAATGCACCTGGTTATGTAGGGCATTTCTGGGCATAACTGATCCTTAAGTAGCCTGAATACACACCAACACACCTCGCTGATGCTACGCAACACCAGCTAAATGCTAGCTGACCAGAAATAAGACGGGCAGAAAGCTGAATCGGATTACATTAATTTTATTAAGGCCAAGATAGTCCGGTGCAAAAAAAAAAAAAACTTTGCATCATTTTAATTTGCAACAACTTATCCAATAATGGATGAGTGGGGGAAATATAAGAAAAGAACCGGTTTGTTGGGGAACAGGATTTCAAGCCTATCGACTACTCTACCACCAGACAAAAATATCTTAGTCTCTAAAATAAAAGGATTAATGTAAATTCTCGGTGTATATAAGCTGACAGAAATACACATCTTGGAGTATATATTCCATGAAAAATCTAAAAAAAAAAAAAAGTAATACGTATTGTTTCCTATTAATGTCGAATTGTGTTATATGTTATTTTCAAATAAATACAAGTGTCAGTTTGCTTATTTCAAATTTTAAGAGATGGAATGGGCAAAAATAATTTGTGTAATTATATATTAGCCACCAAAAAATATATCAGCAGGAACGCTATATAGATAAATACTGATATACAAAAACTTTTAGCACCTGATAATTAATAAAGCAATTTCTTTAAGTCTCCCTCTTATTATATGTTTTCTTTGTAAGCAGCATCTTTCTTCGTTTTCTATCCAGTTTTCAGATAAACTAATATTCAGGATGTTTTCACTTGTGAGCTAATTATTTAACATCGGCAGTTTCTCAGAGGCAAAGTGACCCGAAAAAAACACGTTCATCATCATTCAGTCCATGGCACGCCTACACTACGGTTAAAAAAAATACAACATATCAACACCTATGCTTCGGAGCGCAGGCACTGTACTTTAAACCTCCAGGACTCGAGTCCGGCTAACTGGCTTCCCTGAATCTCTTCATAAATGTTACTTTGCTCAAACTTCAGCAGCATATCAAGTCAAAAATAATTTGTCTCCACTCGCTCATATCTCATTCGAGCACACTTGCTGGAAGTCCAGACCCTTTGCAGACAAAGCCCCCTTTACCCTCTCCCTCCCTCCATCCTTTCCTAGGGCGACCTCTACCCCTTGTTCTTTCCACTACAGATTTATATGCTCTTAAAGTCACCGTGTTTCGTTCCAACCTCTAAATGTCAGAACCACAACAGCCTCTTCTCAGCCCTCTTTAATAATACTTTTAGTAACCCCGTGCCTTCTAATTTCCAAACTATGGAGTCTCTACATTATATTCACACTGCATATTCCACTCAGACATGATATCTCCACTGGGTCCAGCCTTCTCCTTGTTGCAGTCTTTACAACCCATGTTTCACACCCAGATAAGAGCGTTGGTATAACCATAATCTCATACATTCCCCTCTTTGTTTACTTGGGACTCGCCTTTTTCCCCTCATCAATTCTATGATTCACCTCTTCTTTCATAGACCCATTTGCTAACACGTTCACTCCAAATATCTGAAAACGTTCACCTCCTCCATACTCTCTCCCACCAATCTGATATTCAGTCCTTCATTACCTAAAATATTTATCCGTATCACCTTGCTCTTTCATATGTTCACTTTTAATTTCCTTCCTTTACATACCCTTCCACACCCGTCCACCAACCTCTGAAGCTTCTCTCCAGAATCTCCCAAAAGCACAGTGTCATCAGCAAAAAGCAACTGTGACAACTCTCACTTTGTGTAAGATTCTTTACCTTGTGATCGCACCTCTTGCCAACACCCGAGCATTCACTTCTTACAGCCCATCTATAAATATTTTCAACAATAAAGGTGACATCAGGCATTCCTGTCTAAGGCCTTACCATTTACTGATAATGTCCCTGAATAAAACTGATGTATATCATAAAGACAGGTAGAGGGATGGTAAACGCTTTTAACGCAAATGGGGTCGAGGAGGGGGAGGGAGATAGAGATAGAGAGATGGATAGATATATAGAACAGATACTTGGCTGCGATACAGAATTAATCTTAATTCAGAGCATCATTGCAGCAAGTATGTTAACTAACAGCAGGTGAGCGAGTACGTGATCTGCCAATCGCCCTATCAAATCAGTTTCATCACTGCGCCAGCGGTGGTATTAGGTAAGGCAGGGGAGTGTCCCGTTGCCCAAGTGACCTTATAACCTCCTCTGGTGGTGATATATAACGGGTACGTAGGCTCGATCTTCGCTAGCGCACTCAGCTCATACACTGAGGTTTGAATCTCCTCCGGTACGGCTCGAAAACATTAGGGACGTGTTTCCATAAGACACCTGCTGTCCCTGTCCCTGTTCACCCATCAGTTTAAAATGGGTACTTGGGTGTTAGTCGACTGGTGTGGGTCGCATCCTGAGACAAAACTGGCCTAATTTGCCCGAAATTCTCAGCATAAGGGGCTTTCTATAGCAGTATGTCATTGATGTCAGCTAGGTCTTTATACCATGTACATGTACTTGTAGTAAATAGATATTATTATTATTATTATTATTATTATTATTATTATTATTATTATTATTATTATTATTATTATTATTATTATTATTAAAACTAGTCTGGAGGCTCAGTTGGCAGCCTCAGATCGCACTCAGAGAAACATTGGTTAAGTTTCCCCTACATCTGCTGCCCTCGTTCACCTACAAATAAATAGGTATCTGGGTGCTGGCAGCAGGTCTGGGTCACATTCTATGGAAAAACAAAATAAGCGCAGGGAAAGTTGATTATTTTGAATCTTTCTCGCGAATTCGCGATTATTTTGCACACACACCACACACACACACACACACACACACACACACACACACACACACACACGAGGCCAAGAGCTTGGACTCGACCCCTGCAACCTCAACTAGGTGAGTACACACATGCAGTGTGCTGCTACATTTCGGGAAAAAAAGCTAGCTATTTTTCCGTTATATTCCATCACACAAGACGTGTTACATAGCGTTGACGTCTGTAAGCCTCAGCTGATAAACGTCAGGAGGCCTATAAGTCAGTGTTTCTGACTTTTTTGGGCTATCCTAGGTTCTCCACACATATGCTGTTATGTATAATAAGCTATGTAACGGTATTTGTGTATACCTGAATTAACTTACTTATGGCGGAAGGTTGAGGTAGCCTGAGCGGAGTGGACGGAAGGCGGTGAGGGGTATGAACGGATGTTTGGTGGGGGGTGGGGGTTATTGTGGGGTCTCACACTAGAAGACTGGGACAGCTCGCAAAACCTCCTGCAGTATATGGTTGTCTTGACTGGTGAGTGTGTTGTCTCCTCGTGTCCAGGGAACAGAGTCTCACCTACCTCATGTATGTGACTGATGAACCCGAGGATAACTAGGCTCCTCAAAGGGGCTTCTGGTTCATATTATTCACGGCACTGATGAATAATATTCAGAATATCGTTAGTGGAGCAGAATACAATTTGTTTTAACAGGAGTTGCTGTATCAGTGGGGTTATTCAGTGCAAGGCGTCCTGAAGACTCCAACTTCCGCGACGTGGACGAATTAACTAGTACTTACCAATTTCTGTAACTAAGAAAAATTGTTGTTACGGTTCTGTTGGAAAAAGAACCGAAACTTTGTTCAGTTTCAACTTTATTTCTGAGGGTTAGTGAGAATGGTTCCTTCTTGTTATAAAACTACTGTAACCTACTGTCATCTTAGCATTTAAATACTACTGCTAATAATAATAACACTTGACGACAGACACCATGATTTCTCTGTGTACTGATTTTGTCTATGTTCTCTGTAAATATTACAGTTTATTACTTAGGTAAGGTTCGTCAGGAAACAGGACAAGAGTTTCCTGACGCTGGTCGGTCATCTGACAGAAGACTTCTGCTTGTCTTGTTTCCTTTCATATTAACCGCATCAAGAGAGCAGCGTTGTTGAAAGTCGAGCCTATACAGCTTTGACAGATTTTTAAGATTGAATAAGTAGGCCTGAGATCTAAAAAGTGTGAAATTATCTTGGAAAAGATTTGAAGCGATAGTGTGGCGGAGGGGAAGTATAAGAGAGGAAGAACAGGAAGGAGGAGAGGAAGGTTGGCATTCTGTACGTCAGGAGAAGCTGGATTATATGGGATATTGCCGACAAGCCTGGAAACGAAGGCACAAGTTTCAGAACAAACGTTTACTGAGAAAACGTCTTGCCCTTTGAAGAGTTTTATCATGCTCTCCAGAATGTAAAACGTTGTCCCACTGAATTCTTTTTTTTTTTTTATCTGTATAGTAGTACTCGTTTGGCAGGAGAAATGAGAGAAATTTCACACTTTCGTGGCTTGTAAAATAGTTTAACTCCGCACAACCTTCCTCAGCTTATTTCAAGTCCAACCTTATTTATCTAAGGTATTACTGCATTCTCAAGATGTGAGTCGCTACAGTTGCCTAACACCCAGGTATCTCTTTACTATTTACTGTTAGGTAAACGGTAAATAGGTACCCGGAGACTATAATGAGAGGTACGACCACAGTGTAGGTGCTGTCAGAGGTACGACCAAGGCACGGATGCTGCGGCGGAGTAGATGACCTGGGCACGGTTGATAACTTGCGTGGGGAGAGCTCTAAACGCGTAGGAGTTCATACAAGTGCCAAAAGGGGGGGGGAGGAGGCATTCAGATTTGATCCAAGGAAGGGAACAGCGGATCCATTTTCTTGGATCAAGATCTCCTTACTGGCATCGACGAACCTCCCTTAAGGGAATGTGGCAGTAAAGCACGATCGCTTGACACGTCCAGAGGAGGACGGGTTACCGCAGGGGAAAGTAGCTCTGGTTACTAATTAGTCTCAGGAACGGTGTGCTAATACTGTCCTGCTGGTCGAGAACGTGTGGCGATGTATAGAATATTGATACAGTACCACAACCAGTGACTCCGTGCAAGATTAGGCGCTGTATGTGTGTGTACTCACCTAGTTGTACTCACCTAGTTGAGGTTGCGGGGGTCGAGTCCGAGCTCCTGGCCCCGCCTCTTCACTGATCGCTACTAGGTCACTCTCCCTGAACCGTGAGCTTTATCATACCTCTGCTTAAAGCTATGTGTGGATCCTGCCTCCACTACATCGCTTCCCAAACTATTCCACTTACTGACTACTCTGTGGCTGAAGAAATACTTCCTAACATCCCTGTGATTCATCTGTGTCTTCAACTTCCAACTGTGTCCCCTTGTTACTGTGTCCAATCTCTGGAACATCCTGTCTTTGTCCACCTTGTCAATTCCTCTCAGTATTTTGTATGTCGTTATCATGTCCCCCCTATCTCTCCTGTCCTCCAGTGTCGTCAGGTTGATTTCCCTTAACCTCTCCTCGTAGGACATACCTCTTAGCTCTGGGACTAGTCTTGTTGCAAACCTTTGCACTTTCTCTAGTTTCTTTACGTGCTTGGCTAGGTGTGGGTTCCAAACTGGTGCCGCATACTCCAATATGGGCCTAACGTACACGGTGTACAGGGTCCATGAACGATTCCTTATTAAGATGTCGGAATGCTGTTCTGAGGTTTGCTAGGCGCCCATATGCTGCAGCAGTTATTTGGTTGATGTGCGCTTCAGGAGATGGGCCTGGTGTTATACTCACCCCAAGATCTTTTTCCTTGAGTGAGGTTTGTAGTCTCTGGCCCCCTAGACTGTACTCTGTCTGCGGTCTTCTTTGCCCTTCCCCAATCTTCATGACTTTGCACTTGGTGGGATTGAACTCCAGGAGCCAATTGCTGGACCTGGTCTGCAGCCTGTCCAGATCCCTTTGTAGTTCTGCCTGGTCTTCGATCGAGTGAATTCATCTCATCAACTTCACGTCATCTGCAAACAGGGACACCTCAGAGTCTATTCCTTCCGTCATGTCGTTCACAAATACCAGAAACAGCACTGACCCCTGTGGGACCCCGCTGGTCACAGGTGCCCACTCTGACACCTCGCCACGTACCATGACTCGCTGCTGTCTTCCTGACAAGTATTCCCTGATCCATTGTAGTGCCCTTCCTGTTATCCCTGCTTGGTCCTCCAGTTTTTGCACCAATCTCTTGTGTGGAACTGTGTCAAACGCCTTCTTGCAGTCCAAGAATATGCAATCCACCCACCCCTCTCTCTCTTGTCTTACTGCTGTCATCATGTCATAGAACTCCAGTAGGTTTGTGACACAGGATTTCCTGTCCCTGAAACCATGTTGGCTGCTGTTGATGAGATCATTCCTTTCTAGGTGTTCCACCACTCTTCTCCTGATAATCTTCTCCATGATTTTGCATACTATACATGTCAGTGACACTGGTCTGTAGTTTAATGCTTCATGTCTGTCTCCTTTTTTAAAGATTGGGACTACATTTGCTGTCTTCCATGCCTCAGGCAATCTCCCTGTTTCGATAGATGTATTGAATATTGTTGTTAGGGGTACACATAGCGCCTCTACTCCCTTTCTCAATACCCATGGGGAGATGTTATCTGGCCGCATTGCCTTTGAGGCATCTAGCTCACTCAGAAGCCTCTTCACTTCTTCCTCGGTTGTGTGCACTGTGTCCAGCACATGGTGGTGTGCCCCACCTCTCCGTCTTTCTGGAGCCCCTTCTGTCTCCTCTGTGAACACTTCTTTGAATCTCTTGTTGAGTTCCTCACATACTTCACGGTCATTTCTTGTTGTCTCTCCTCCTTCCTTCCTTAGCCTGATTACCTGGTCCTTGACTGTTGTTTTCCTCCTGATGTGGCTATACAACAGTTTCGGGTCAGATTTGGCTTTCGCTGCTATGTCATTTTCATATTGTCTTTGGGCCTCCCTTCTTATCTGTGCATATTCGTTTCTGGCTCTACGACTGCTCTCCTTATTCTCCTTTGTCCTTTGCCTTCTATATTTCTTCCATTCCCTAGCACACTTGGTTTTTGCCTCCCTGCACCTTTGGGTAAACCATGGACTCATCCTGGCTTTTTTCATTATTCCTGTTACCCTTGGGTACAAACCTCTCCTCAGCCTCCTTGCATTTTGTTGCTACATATTCCATCATCTCATTAACTGGCTTCCCTGCCAGTTCTCTGTCCCACTGAACCCCGTTCAGGAAGTTCCTCATTCCTGTGTAGTCCCCTTTCTTGTAGTTTGGCTTCATTCGTCCTGGCCTTCCTGCTTCTCCCTCCACTTGTAGCTCTACTGTGTATTCGAAGCTTAAAACCACATGGTCACTGGCCCCAAGGGGTCTTTCATATGTGATGTCCTCGATATCTGCACTACTCACTACTCACTACCCACTACTCCGTGTGTGTGTGTGTGTGTGTGTGTGTGTGTGTGTGTGTGTGTGTGTGTGTGTGTGTGTACTCACCTATTTGTACTCACCTATTTGTGGTTGCAGGGGTCGAGTCTTAGCAGTGTGTGTGTGTGGTGTGTGTTGTGTATTAGAGCAATGAGTGTTTACCAACAACAGGCGTGAAACACTTTTGGCGTCTGCGTTAATTTTAAAGTGATAAATATTATTGACATTTGCTTTATTTTGCAGAAATGATGACGTGGTGGAAGGTGGCGTTGGTAGCAGTGACGACGGTAGTCTGCATGGTATCAAAGGCTTCCGGCGATATCAACGAAACCATTAAGGATATTTACGAGAACCCGTCGAAGGGGGAGGTGGCTATTCCCTTCAGCTACGACCCTGCGTCTACGTCCTTCAACACCACCATATCCTTCACGTGCCCGATCTTCTCCTTCACTCTGCCCGGCGCCGGGGACTTCTCTCCTGCAGGCATCAGCTTACAGTCCTTCGGCGGTCTTACCTTCATAGGGATCTTTCTGCTTGGAGGTTTGGCCATAGCAATATACACTACCAACCAGAAAGCCACAGGACCCGCCAGAGAGATTTCTGACGGGTATAGCCTCGGGGAATACTTGCTTAATGGTCTTATCACGGAGTCTCTCACCGTCATGCCCATCATTGTGGACAAGAACTGCGTCAAGCAGGCCATCTGCGAAGCCTACGTAGATTCCAAAAGATTCGGCTTCCTAACATTACCAGTCAGGCTCCTAGTGCCGTAAGTACTCAGTCATGTATCTTAATCCCTTGCCTCTGGTGTTTGCAGTCCTTGTACTACTAAGTATTCAAGTACTAATTACTTGAGTACTTAGTAAATGAGTATATTGCTGTCAGGCTCCTCTTACTAAGCACTCGGGTATTAAGTACTCAAGATAGGTTCCTTGATACTAGGCAGATGAACATATCCTCCAATTCCCTAAGTCCTGAATGACCCCTACATTACCGAAGCAACAATCCTGAGACTTAATATCTGCCCAGGATAGTACGGAATGAGAGAAGTGGGGAGATTAGGTTTGATCCGCTGAAATGGGAGGGTACCTCCAATTCCATGGATCAAAAGCTCTTTGCCATCACTTAGGCATCCCCTCGAAGGGACAAAACATTTATTTCTTATTATATACTTATGGTATCACTATGGCAGCAGCCCATGTATATCTACTCGGGTATAATACCTCATGTGGTATATACATTATTATTATTATAATCAAAAAGAAGCGCTAAACCACAAGGGCTATACAGCTGTGGTATATACAAAGCTAATATATTGATGAATATATCAAGCTTCATTCAGTCGTAAAGAATATTTCAATTTCATTCACAGATACACGGTTTAGCTCACCAAATTCTCTGAACCACATCTTTACTCCCGATGTAGGAAAAGAGTCATTGTATATCTAGGAGCACTTTCATTGTATCTAAATTCAGAGCTATTCGAGGTAAATAAGCATTAAACAAGTATGTATCTTGTAGTACTTGAGATAAATCAGGATGCAATACTCTGTCATTAGGTCCCCTGGACTCGACGTACCTGAGGAGAAGCTAACGGAGCTGCAGAAGGCCGCCAGGTACGCCGAAGAAGGAGGCGAGGATTGCCATTACGAGTTCCCTTGTCTCCTCCAGCCTCTTGATCTCATCCTCTTTTTCTACGACTACTTGCGTGGCCACAAGTAGGCGTCCGCAATCACGAAGGCAATCGGCGCAACCAAGCTGAACTTCTACAGCAGTCGGCAAGAAAATTAATAAAGTTTAGGAGGGCAGTTGAATTCCTCCGGACGGCTTCATGGCGAGAACGCTCGGTTATAAAATAAAACTGTCTAACAGTGACTGGACGACTAATAGTATATAGAAAATCGAGTCTCCATCACATGCACATTGAGTAAACACCAGTGTGATACTTCATGATGTAAAATCAGTGGCTAGTATCCAATAGTCAGACTTCATGAAGTAAAAATCAGTGGCTAGTATCCAATAGTCAGCTACTAGTCTGGGCATTTTTAAGTAATCTAGTGGCATTTGAATATTTTACAGGCATAATTTATATTAATCATTCCCTTGTTACAGTTACTTTTTTTTTTTTGGTAACAATGACATGTAACTCATTTTTACGAAAATAATAAAGACATGTAGAGAACCTGTTTCATTATTCCTAAAAATTTGATTTCTTTTAGGCGAAAACTGTTTGCATTCTCAAACAGGTGATTTTCATTCAAACACAAATTTAAATATGGTTTTTCATAATAAGTACATGGTTGCAAATATGGACAGAAATAAGACGGGTACCTACGTCGTCCTTTAAAATTATTTCTCCTAAAAATTAGTGAAATAAGTAGACTAAGGTGCTAAACACAGACTTGTAGGTTGAGGGACTAATTATCCCATCTTCCACTTCTTACCTGGAGTTTACCTGGAGAGAGTTCCGGGGGTCAACGCCCCGCGGCCCGGTCTGTGACCAGGCCTCCTGGTGGATCAGAGCCTGATCAACCAGGCTGTTACTGCTGGCTGCACGCAAACCAACGTACGAGCCACAGCCCGGATGGTCAGGAACCGACTTTAGGTGCTTGTCCAGTGCAAAAAGTCAGTGAAAACCTCGTCTACTATCTACGATTTTGAAATAGATATCCAGGTGTTGCACATGTCTAGTTCCTCATCTTGCAGAATGAAGTTAAATATACTTATGCAGATACAATATTGATTATTTAACATATTTTTGCAATCTGGAAAAACAAGATCGTTTAGATTAGGTTATATCAATTTAAGTTTTTTGTTTTTTTTTTGAATTTAGATCGTTTATTTTCGTGCAAAATAAAAAAATAAGTTAGAAAATATTTAAAATTAGATAAACAAAGAAGTCGACATAGTGTGACGGTATAAAAAATATTTTCAGGATTTTTTTTGTTTTTTACTTGAACGTATTTTGCTTTCAGTGACCATCCCCATGAACGTAATAATAATTCATGAGCCAGCAGTGCCGCCATCCTGCTACACACTTGCTAGCTTCATGACTCACGTGAGTGTCAGGTGGCACTCCCGCTATGAGGGTCACTTGCTACTACCTAACAAATCCCCAGGCCCTAATGAACTGTTTGCAAGGGTGTTAAAGGAATGTAAAGAGGAGCTTAGCATACCTTTGGCTAATCTTTTCAACATATCGCTACAAACTGGCATAGTGCCTGATAAGTGGAAAATGGCAAAAGTAATACCTATTTGCAAGGCAGGTGACAGGTCCTTAGCTTCGAACTATAGACCAATAAGCCTTACCTCCATAGTGGGGAAAATTTATGGAATCAATAATTGCCGAAGCAATTAGTAGTTATCTTGATAGGTATAAATTGATTAATGAATCTCAACACGATTTTACGAAGGGGCGTTCCTGTCTTACGAATTTACTAACTTTTTTCACTAAGGTGTTTGAGGAGGTAGATCAGAATATGATATTGTGTATATGGACTTCAGTAAGGCTTTCGATAGAGTTCCACATCAGAGGCTATTGAGGAAACTTAAGGCACACGGAATAGGAGAATTTTTTTCCTGGGTAGAGGCATGGCTGACAAATAGGCAACAAAGACTTTGTATAAATGAGGAGAAATTAGAATGGGGGCACGTCACAAGCAGTGTTCCGCAGGGGTCAGTGTTGGGCCCGTTGTTGCTCACAATTTACATAAACGACATAGATGAGGGAATAAATAGCGACATAAGCAAATTTGCTGATGACACCAAAATAGGCCGGCCAATTCCTTCTAATGAGGACACTAGAGCACTCCAGGATGATTTGAATATACTGATGCACAGGTCGGAGAAGTGGCAGATGCAGTTTAATAAAGACAAATGCAAAGTTCTAAATGTTGGACAGGAAAATAACCATGCCACATATAAACTAAATAATGTAGATCTTAATACTACTGATTGCGAAAAGAATTTAAGAGTTCTCGTAAGCAGTAATCTAAAACCAAGACAACAGAATCCTTGGCTTCATATCTAGTAGTGTAAATAATAGAAGTCCACAGGTTGTTCTTCAACTCTATATATCCTTAGTTAGGCCTCATTTAAATTATGCTGCACAGTTTTGGCCACCGTATTACAGAATGGATATAAATGCACTGGAAAACGTACAGAGGTGGATGACAAAGTTGATCCCATGTATCAGAAATCTTCCCTATGAGGATAGACTGAGGCCCTGAATCTGCACCTTCTCGAAAAGCGTAGAATTATGGGGATATGATCGAGGTGTATAAATGGAAAACAGGAATAAATAAAGGGGATGTAAATAGCGTGCAGAAAATTTCCAGCCAAGACAAGACTCGCAGCAATGGTTTCAAATGGGAAAAAGTCAGATTGAGGAAGGATATAGGAAAGCACTGGTTTGGTAATAGAGTTGTGAATGAGTGGAACAAACTCCCGAACTCCGTTATTGAGGCTAAAACGTTGTGTAGTTTTAAAAATAGGTTAGATAAATATGGGTGGATGTGGGTGGGTGTGAGTTGGAACCTGACTAGCTTGTGCTACTAGGTCGATGCCGTGCTCCTTCCTTAAGCGGAATTGACCTGACTAGGTGGGTCATTGGGCTAATCCAGGGGGTGGGACATGGACCTGCTTCGCATGGGTCAGTAGGCCTACTACAGTTCCTTCTTTCTTATGTTCTTACCATCATTGGACCATGAACCAACCAAAACGGACACCCGTCTTGTCTTCCCAGGGGTAAATGATCTAGAGAAAAGTTAAAGCCTTCAAAAAAATATTAACTTGGTTAATGAATAGTTATGAAACTGAGTTACACATATCAACGAAGCATTTGTGTGCTACTGAGAAAGACACACACACACACACACACACACACGTGTGGTGTGAAATTATCAGGAGGAGAGTGGTGGACACCTGGAACGAACAAAGTAACATCCAACCAGCACGGATTCACCGAAGGCAAATCTGCGTCACACAACACTCTGAGTTTTATGATAAAATAACAGAGTAGGAGCACGAGAGAGGTGTGGGATTGATCTTCTTGGCTGCAGAAGCCTTTGACAAGTTCCTCACAAGAGAAGTGCGAGCTAGGCATCAGGGCTATAACAGGAAGGGCTCAAGGATCAGAGATACTGCAGGGAGGCACACGAGTCATGGTACGTAATGAGTATCACAGTGGGCATGTGACGAGCGGTGTCCACAGGGGTCGGTCCTAGGACCAGTGCTATTTTTGGTATATGTGAACGACATGACGGAAGGGTTAGACTCAGAAGTGTCCCTGTTTGCAGATGATGTGAAGTTAATGAGGAGAATTAAATCTGATGAGGACCAGGCAGGACTTCAAAGAGACCTGGACAGACTGGACACCTGGTCCAGGAAATGGCTTCTCGAATTTAATCCTGCCAAATGCAAAGTGTATGAAGATAGGGGAAGGGCATAGAAGACCACGACAGGTATAGGCTAGGTTGGCCAAAGACTGCAAACCTCACTCAAGGAGAAAGTATCTTGGGGTGAAGTATCAACACGAGCATGTCTCCGGAAGCACACATCAATCAGATAACTGCTGCAGCATATGGCGCTGGCAAACTGGAACAGCATTCGATAACTTAGTAAGGAATCATTCAAGCACTGTAAAACCGTGTATGAAAGTCCCATATGGAGTATGCAGCACCTGTTTGGAACCGGCACTTGATAAATGCACGTCAAGAAACTAGAGAAAGTACAAAGGTTTGGACAAGGTTGTTCCAGAGCTAAGGGAATGTCCTGAAGAAAGATTAAGGGAAATCGGGTTCTGACCACATGGAGGAAAAGGGAGGGTCGGGGGAGGACTGATAGCGACATAATAGATATGCGTGAATAGACAGGTGACAAAGCAGGATGTTCCAGGGGGAGGACAACAGAAACAAGAGGCCACAATGGAAGTTGAAGGACACAAATGAGTCTAAGGCTTGTAGGAAGTTTTCTTCAGTCATAGAGTTAACGCAGTGGAACCGCCTAGAATGACGTAAGTGGAGCAGGAACCATACACAGTTTAATGAACTGGTTTGATAAAGCTCATGGAGCGGGGAGAGTAGAGGGCAGTAGCAACCGGTGAAGAGGCGGGGCCAGGAGCTAAGACTCGACCCCAGACAACCCACAAATAGGTGAGTACAAATAGGTGAGATACAAAATACAACCGCACATGAAAGAGAGGAGCTTACGAGGGACGTTTCGGTCGACTTTGAACCATTTACATAAGTCACACTAACCAGAAGTGGAGCAGGACGGCTATATATAGGCAGGAAGAGGTAGTGATGGTAGTAGTAGTAGTAGTAGTGGTAGTAGTAGTGTAGTAGTAGTAGTAGAGAGTAGTAGTGGGGAACTAAGGAGGAGGAGCCAGTCAAATATAAAGAAAGGAAAGCACTGTGTGTGTGTATACACACACACACACACACACACACACACACACACACACACACACACACACACACACACGCACACACACACACACACATCTGTGACACTGAATCCTAAACACAACAGTTTAAGCATTAACATTTTTTAGATGCTTTTAATGACCCATTAAGCAGGTCACCAAGTGACCAAGACGCACCTTAAATGCTTTTCTTCAAATAAATTAATAAAAGCTCCCACACACAAATATCTCTCAGTATAGTGACAGGCCAATAAATCCTGATATATTATCTTATATGTTCTTGGAGAATAATGTTTGCCTTATTGATATTTATATGGTAATTTGTGATGTAATTTGAGGCAAATTCACTTTCGTAATGTAAAAATGTATATAGTATACCGGTTTAGTTATCATTGCACACTTGTATATCAATATTTGTCTGATAATTATTTTTGGTTATGGCTATTTTAAAGAAATTTTATGAATGTATTGAAGAGATTTTAGTCGTTGTCTAGGTTACTTTTTTTAATATAGCCATTATGGATTTTAGTTTTATTAATAAATTGGGTTTCCATGGCTTCTTTTTACATTTGTTTTTTTCATAATTATCAGAGTACAATTCGTATTTTGTTGAGGTTTTTCTCTTTTATTTTCGGTCACAAGGTTGTTAAAATTTATTATTTTTTGGTTAAGAGCTGATAAATACACACACACACACACACACACACACACACACACACACACACACACACACACACACACACACACACACACACACGATCTTGTCAATTAAATATATTTCCACATTATATATAGTGGATACATGGATATACATAACGGATACGTTCATCCTATATTTATGTTTAGCGCCAATACATTCATCCTGTACAGCGGATACGGGTATTTGATACCAAATTAGATAGCGCACAAGCAAGGTTTAATGATAGGAAGATAACACAATCATGAGGACTCGCCATCTGCCCTTTCCCTGCTGTGAGTACTAGTCGCGAGTACTGCTGAGTCGTGAGTACTTAGCTGTGTGCTACACTCCCCTAACATGAGTGACTGTGAGAGAGAGCACTGCGTCCTGGCACTACTGCTGCTACTGCTAGTGTTCGACTCTTGTCATGCAGAAAGATCTGTTGGAGGCGATGGTGTTGGCCCTCCAATGATACAACAGAAATACATGGTGATGTGGACGGAGGTGGCTACAGGACCTTTCAGTGAGTTGGAGCTTCTCCTGTATCACTTTCTGTTTATTTTATTTGTGTGTGTGTGTGTAGGGAAGACTGTTGTGACTGTGGTCTTTGAATTTTTTGCTTACTGAGGATATTTGTATCTGTGGTGTGTGGTGTTGTCTGTTCTAAAACTGCAGTGCTTTTGTTCGATTATTTTGCTATTGTTTTGTGGGTGTGATTGCTTTTATTTTCAGGCTTTTTTTTTGCTTTTGTTTCGTAGTTACTTTACGCTTGATGCATGCAGCTTTCAAAATAAAAGGAATTTAATGGTTCATGGATTTCTTTTTCTAGCTATTTGTTGAATTATTTGTTATTTATAATGTAATATTTATCATTTCTCTGTATTTAGAATTATTTTTTGGTGAAATCAAACTTTCTCTAAAAGTCTTGTCTACATATATAAGTATGCAATAAGTTCACATAAACAGGTGATATTAGAATATGCAAAACAACCACTGTAAAAGGATAGTGAAATTCCAAGAGCCTTCGTGACTTTTCACATTATCAAGGAACTATATGATATAGTTCCTTGATAATGTGAGAAGTCACGAAAGCGCTTGGGATTTCACTATCTTTTCACAGTGGTTGTTTTGCATAAATAAGTATAAACAAACACGCACACACCTGGGTCACAAACCTACTGGAGTTCTATGACAAGGTGACTGCAGTAAGACAAGAGAGAGGGGTGGGTAGATTGCATTTTCTTGGACTGTAAGAAGGCGTTTGACACAGTTCCACACAAGAGATTAGTGCAAAAACTGGAGGACCAGGCAGAGATAACAAGGAAGGCATTTCATTGGAACAGGGAATGCCTTTCAGGAAGACAGCAGCGAGTTATGGTACACAGCGAGGTGTCAGAGTTAGTGCCTGTGACGAGTGGAGTTCCACAGGGGTCAGTCCTAGAACCGGTGGTGTTTCTGGTATTTGTGAAAGACATGATGGAAGGAATAGACTCCGAAGTGTCCCTGTTTGCCGATAATGTGAAGTTGATGAGAAGAATAAGTCGGACGAGGACCAGGCAGAACTACAAAGGGATATAGACAGGCTGCAGGCCTGGTCCAGCAATTGGCTCCTGGAGTTCAACCCCACCAAGTGCAAAGTCATGAAGATTGGGAAAAAGACCTTGGGGTGAGTATAACACCAGGCACATCTCCTGAAGCGCACATCAACCAAATAACTGCTGCAGCATAAGTGCGCCTAGCAAGCCTAAGAACAGCATTCCGCCATCTTAATAAGGAATCTTTCAGGACCCTGTACACTGTGTAAGTTAGGGTCATATTGGAGTATGCGGCAGCAGTTTGGAACCCACATCTAGCCAATCACGCAAAGGTTTGCAACAAGACTAGTCCAAGAGCTCAGGGGTATGTCCTACGAAGAGAGGTTAAAGGAAATCGACCTGACGACACTGGAGGACAGGAGAGATAGGGGGAACATGATAACAACATATAAAATACTGAGAGGAATTGGCAAGGTGGACAGAGACAGAATGTATATATACACACACATTATTTATGCATGCCGAACAACCGCTGTAAAAAGAATAGTTTTGAAATTAATATGAATATTGGTTTAAGGATTATACAAATTAGATTTGATATTGATTTAAAAACTTTTGATGTTAACTCATATATCGTATGTCTAATTGATGTGTCTTCAACACATCTGTCTACTTCGTTTCTTTTCTTCATCTAGAATTTCAGTTTTTGCTTATATTTCACCTAATTTTATCCTGTCCTCTCTTTACTAAGCTGCTTCACTTACGTCCTGTCTTCCTAAGTGAAGATTCTCTCTGTCCCAACTCTCTAAACTCCTGATACACCTCTTGAAAGTTTTCTTCAGTTCGTTATACTTTTTTTTCCTCCTCTTCTCTCTTTCATTAACACCAAGTTATTCCCGACGCAGGTGTGTGGGTGGATAATAACGACGACTTGAAGTCCATTGCATGTAGTAGCAACGACAACTGCACGGCCGCTCTCTACGGTCTTGACGTCGCTCTCTCCTACGACACATCTTTGCCCTCCGAACCTTATTGTAGATGTGAGTATTGTCATATTTCTCGGGGGAGCGCTGGAGCCATATGGACCATTCAACTCCTAAGGGAATGTGAGGAATGCGTTCCTTTAATAGCATCAAGGCCAAAGGGAAAGACAGATAACAGAGAACTCGTAGGTCCTCTGCTATTTGCTATCAGCGAAGGACTATTTGTATCTCGATTGAGGACTATCATACGTTAGATATTTAAAGTATATTTAGTAAAGCACAAGGATTACATTATGGACGCCCAGATTTTTTCACCAAGTTCTGTATTAGACTGATAAATCTGGTGAGCAAAGCATAGGGTTCTTCAATTTCCTTACGTTACACATGTCTATCGTTATGCGGTAATCTACTTACAGTTGCACACAGTGAGCACCAGGATCATCAAGATGGCTTGGGATACTGCACCTGCGGACCGGAAAAATGCGTCTCTTACAGTAGGGAATACAACAACAACGGCGAACCCTTTTATTATTGTGGACCTTGTGGTAGGTGTGTGTGTGTGTGTGTGTGTGTGTGTGGTGTGTGTGTGTGTGTGTGTGTGTGTCCCATGTTTTTTTTAATTAATCATTGTTTTTTAGCTTTTAATAATTATTTATCTCAGAATCACTACCAGGAACTAATTCCGGAAAGTATTCAAAAGATCTCTTTCGAGTGTAAGTTGAATGGTTTTCTCTGCCGTAACTTCGTATCATTGTTTCAAAATATTTTCTCTGCCGTCTATTTTACTATGTTCCGCCTCTCCTTTCCAGTATCATGCCGTTCTTGTTTATATAACAGTGAAAAGGCACCTCGTTTAGTCAAAATTCATATATTTTTTCCTCAAAACATCAAACATACACATAACTGATAGTCTCTCAACTTGTAGTCTCGTTAAACCTTTCCTCATCTAGCAGTAAGTAGATACCTGGGTGTTAGTTCTCCTTACCTGGATGTCGGTCTTCTTACACCGATAGTCCCGGCTCATCTAGCAGGAAATAAGCACCTGAGTGTTAGTTTCCTTACACCAATAGCCCCTGTTTATCTAGTAGTAAATATACTAGGGAGTTAGCCAATTGCTGTGGGAAGCATCGTAAGGGAAAGGTGGTTAGTACACCTTACTCTGAACTCTGAAATGAGCTGAGGAATGATAGCACTTCTCAGTTGTAAATTGAACTGTGTAAAATAAAAATAGTGACTATGTGTGTGTCCACAGGATGGGTTGGGTCGGAGTGCTACAACACGACCTGCACTCACCCACTGGCAGAGTGCATAAACGACTACTGCGAGTGTCTTAACTACGGCCTTTTCTACGACCTCAGTTACTGGTGAATATTATTTATAATATGATAATAATTAGTAGTAGTGGTATATTCACTGGGAAACATTAATTTCGTAGGATTCATACAGAGATTGGAAAATGGGAGGTAATCGGGTTCAGTCCAAAGAAGAAAAGAGCTACTCCATATCCTTGTAGCATGCTTTAGCAGCTTATTTCCTTCAGCATTGCTGTTATCTCGAGTTATTTCAACTTAAAAACAGTATCTAAGGGTAACAGTGTTACTGAGAGGTGTTGTTGGTGTGATCTTGTCTCTTCTTCACAGCTACAACATATTTTGTCTCTCCTTCATGTTTACGAAATACATTATCTCTTCCTCACAGTTACATACCTTTCTACGGCAAGGAGCTAGTGGCTGTAATGCTGATTACAACTATTATCGTCGTGATACTCTGCACGTTTCTTGCCTACGGCTACCACAGGCTGAGGAAGTAAGTGTCTGCTTTTCTCGTCACGCTAGTTTCAGGAGAGATCAAGGAACATTGGAAAAGTCTAGCTAGAGTTTAGGACGTCGAACTGGAATGGAAGCATCGAGCTAAAGTGAAGGAGTCTGACTCAAATGGAAGCTGGTTTGTTTTTGAGTATCTTACAACCATTTCCTGATTACTGTGTGAATGAGGTGTGAGTCCGCTGACTTTATAATTGAGTTAGTCAGTAGTTTGGAAATATATAAACTTTACTTACTGGACATGATTTTACATTGATGAAAATAGTAAATAACTAGACATTTATACCACACTTGTGTTAATATGGTGGAGCTTACGGAAATGTCTTATTATATAAGTTGTTTGTATAAATAAATGATCTCCTTACTTGAGGTTAGACCACTGGCACCGTTAAATAAAAGAAAAGGCACAATACTGTGACTGGAACAATACACAAAAATTTCCACATATAGAAGAGAGGAGGTTACGACAACGTTTCGGTCCGACTTGGACCATTTACAAAGTCACACTGTGTGACTTTGAAAATGGTCCGAGTCGGACCGGGACGTCGTCATAACCTCCTCTTCTGTATGCGAGTTACTTGTGTATTGGCACCATTAGTCTTGGCAACTCGTAATATTGCATAATGAAAGTCAGTGGAGTGGTACTAATACTTGCATCACCTTAAGAGCGAAGAAATGTGATTATAATTCTAGTAGTGACCTGCACCTGGCAGTGTCATGCGCTCATCGAGGAAGTCTGGAATACTTTCAGTTACATGTGATATTCATATAGAAGTTAGGAATATTTAAGTGTTAGGAGTATTTCTTCTGCACAATACACAGATAACTCGGAGAATGAGACTTACGACGAGGAATCGGTCCGACTTGGATCATTAACTAGTCACACTAACACACGAAGGTATTATATATATATATATAATATATATATATATATATATATATATAATATATATATATATATATATATATATATAATATAATATATAACATATGTATTTTATATATATATATATATATATATATATATATATATATATATATATATAAATATATATATATATATATATAAATATATCAGTATTAATTATTACCTGACGTACAAGAAACTTTCCTTTTAATTCTTCAGTTTTTTTTGGTCTAGCCTATTTTTCCACTCCCCTTAAGTGTTTTCAAAATAGGACTTATCAGAGGCATCAGACAAATGTTGCCGTCAAACTAAAGTGAAGGTGCTGAAATTTGCTTTACGATGGTACTATCTCGTGTTTTAGAAGTTTCATAATCTATCTTATCACAGACGATGGTATCATTCTAATGGTATTTACTACATCTGAAGGAAAACAACAGACGCACGTTGAAGGACAAGCTTTGTTAGTGTCGACTTCTCGCTCTGTGCAGAGTTTTAACATCATCAGGGGCATGTATGTACCCCTGATGTATATAAGTATATAAGTGTATATAAGTAAGTAAGTTACTTATTGTAATCCCTCTTTAAAGTGACTCGACTGAGCTCAACACAGAACGAACATGTGTCGCAATAAAAGATTGTGCTACAATGTCTTTTCGTAACTATTTTTGAAAGAATGTTACTCTGATCCATTAGAAAGACTTGCTTTGTTATCCTTTCAACACGTTCAGACTTCAGATATTAAAAATTACGTCGTGTTTACCTGTTCCCTCCGTTCTACGACAAGATATAACGACCGGAATAAGTTGATGTGCGTGTATCTCGGGTTCCTCGTTCTTTCCGTATTGAGGCATATGAAAAATAGAGAATATGTATAATAAAGGTAATTTCACAATATGCTAAATAACCGCTCTGGAAAAAAATGGTGAATTTCCACGCTCTTGGAAATTCACTATTTTTGTTTCACAGTGGTTATTCTGCTTTATATATATTATATACATATATATATATAATATATATATATATATATATATATATATATATATATTATATATATATATATATATATATATATATCGGTAATAAACACTGCGACTAGCCAAAGAGTCGAACCCATGCTTGCTGCTCTGGCCCTCCCCATGGTGAGCGAAAACAGTCCACGGGACCACACAATCCTCCAGAGCAGCATAGGTTCGACTCCTTGGCTAGTCCCAGTGTTGTTATTGATCAATACCACTCGTTCGTGGGCATAATATATATACATATATATATATATATATATATATATATTATAATATATATATATATATATAATATATATATATATATATATATAAATATATATATATATATATATATATATAATATATATATAAAAGCAAAGAGAGAGGTATTTTTATTACATAATATGGTACTAAAGATTTAAAAGAAACATTGCTGGTACAAAGATGGCATATACAGTACATGAGGATTGAGGGATACATTTCAAATACATATTACTACATGTTTATCACAGATCATAATGCGAAAATCACATTCAGCAGCTCAGAGCTGGGACACGTGCCCAAGATACAGCAGGCATTACGTCACTGAACCGCAACGATAATTCTTTAAGAAGCACTAATAGCTTATTCTTCCCTACAGTCGTTCGCGACGAGGCTTCCCTGAAAGCTGGTTCAGAGGAAACGTAACACGGCAGGTATGTTATCATTGGTGGTACTCTGGGGAATGTTGGCAGTGTAAATAATGGTAGCGGATGGAATGGTGGTGGGGTGTGGAATGGTGATTTTATGAGTTACTGAAGGTAGTGTGAGGAATATTGTTAGTAAGTGGGCAGGTTGTAATAACAGCAGTAGTATCTGTGATACAACAGTCACAGCAGTAGTATCTCTGACACAACAGTCACAGCAGTAGTATCTCTGACACAACAGTCACAGCAGTAGTATCTCTGACACAACAGTCACAGCAGTAGTATCTGTGACACAACAGTCACAGCAGTAGTATCTCTGACACAACAGTCACAGCAGTACTATCTGTGATACAACAGTCACAGCAGTAGTATCTCTGACACAACAGTCACAGCAGTAGTATCTCTGATTCAACAGTCAAAGCAGTAGTATCTCTGATACAACAGTCACAGCAGTAGTATCTCTGATACAACAGTAACAGCAGTAGTATCTCTGTAACAACAGTAACAGCAGTAGTATCTCTGATACAACAGTAACAGCAGTAGTATCTCTGATACAACAGTCACAGCAGTAGTATCTCTGATACAACAGTCACAGCAGTAGTATCTCTGATACAACAGTAACAGCAGTAGTATCTCTGATACAACAGTCACAGCAGTAGTATCTCTGTAACAACAGTAACAGCAGTAGTATCTCTGATACAACAGTAACAGCAGTAGTATCTCTGATACAACAGTAACAGCAGTAGTATCTCTGATACAACAGTCACAGCAGTAGTATCTCGATACAACAGTAACAGCAGTAGTATCTCTGATACAACAGTAACAGCGTAGTATCTCTGATACACAGTAACAGCAGTAGTATCTCTGTAACAACAGTAACAGCAGTAGAATATCTGATACAACAGTAACAGCAGTAGTATCTCTGATTCAACAGTCACAGCAGTAGTATCTCTGATACAACAGTCACAGCAGTAGTATCTCTGATACAACAGTACGCAGATAGTATCTCTGATTCAACAGTAACAGCAGTAGTATCTCTGTAACAACAGTAACAGCAGTAGTATATCTGATACAACAGTCACAGCAGTAGTATCTCTGATACAACAGTCACAGCAGTAGTATCTCTGATACAACAGTAACAGCAGTAGTATCTCTGATACAACAGTCACAGCAGTAGTATCTCTGATACAACAGTCACAGCAGTGAGTATCTCTGATACAACAGTAACAGCAGTAGTATCTCTGATACAACTGTCACAGCAGTAGTATCTCTGATACAACAGTAACAGCAGTAGTAATCTCTGATACAACAGTCACAGCAGTAGTATCTTCGATACAACAGTAACAGCAGTAGTATCTCTGATACAACAGTCACAGCAGTAGTATCTCTGATACAACAGTCACAGCAGTAGTATCTCTGATACAACAGTCACAGCAGTATATCTCTGATACAACGTCACAGCAGTAGTATCTCTGATACAACAGTCACAGCAGTAGTATTTCTGTAACAACAGTAACAGCAGTAGTATCTCTGATACAACAGTAACAGCAGTAGTATCTCTGATACAACAGTAACAGCAGTAGTATCTCTGTAACAACAGTAACAGCAGTATATCTGTAACAACGTAACAGCAGTAGTATCTCTGATACAACAGTAACACCAGTAGTATCTCTGATACAACAGTCACAGCAGTAGTATCTCTGATACAACAGTCACAGCAGTAGTACCTCTGATACAACAGTCACAGCAGTAGATCTCTGATACAACAGTAACAGCAGTAGTATCTCTGATACAACAGTAACAGCAGTAGTATCTCTGATACAACAGTAACAGCAGTAGTATCTCTGTAACAACAGTAACAGCGTAGTATTCTGTAACAACAGTAACAGTAGTACTCTGATACAACAGTCACAGCAGTAGTATCTCTGATACAACAGCACAGCAGTAGTATCTCTGATTCACAGTAACAGCAGTAGTATCTCTGTAACAACAGTAACAGCAGTAGTATCTCTGATACAACAGTAACAGCAGTAGTATCTCTGATACAACAGTCACAGCAGTAGTATCTCTGTAACAACAGTAACAGCAGTAGTATCTCTGATACAACAGTCACAGCAGTAGTATCTCTGATACAACAGTCACAGCAGTAGTATCTCTGATACAACAGTAACAGCAGTAGTATCTCTGATACACAGCACACGCAGTAATCTCTTAACACAGTAACACCAGTGTATCTCTGATACAACAGTCACAGCAGTAGTATCTCTGATACAACAGGTCACAGCAGTGTACCTCTGATACAACAGTCACAGCAGTGTATCTCTGATACAACAGTAACAGCAGTAGTATCTCTGATACAACAGTAACAGCAGTAGTATCTCTGATACAACAGTAACAGCAGTAGTATCTCTGTAACAACAGTAACAGCAGTATGTATCCTCTGAACAACAGTCACAGCAGTAGTTATCTCTGATACAACAGTCACAGCAGTAGTATCTCGATACAACAGTACAGCAGTAGTATCTCTGATACAACAGTCACAGCAGTAGTAATCTCTGATACAACAGTCACAGCAGTAGATCTCTGATACAACAGTACACAGCAGTAGTATTTCTGTAACAACAGTAACAGCAGTAGTATCTCTGATACAACAGTCACAGCAGTAGTATCTCTGATACAACAGTCACAGCAGTAGTATCTCTGATACAACATCACAGCAGTAGTATCTCTGATACAACAGTCACAGCAGTAGTATCTCTGATACAACAGTAACAGCAGTAGTATCTCTGATACAACAGTCACAGCAGTAGTATCTCTGATACAACAGTCACAGCAGTAGTATCTCTGATACAACAGTCACAGCAGTAGTATCTCGTGATACAACAGTCACAGCAGTAGTATCTCTGATACAACAGTCACAGCAGTAGTATCTCTGATACAACAGTAACAGCAGTAGTATCTCTGATACAACAGTCACAGCAGTAGTATCTCTGATACAACAGTAACAGCAGTAGTATCTCTGATACAACAGTAACAGCAGTAGTATCTCTGATACAACAGTAACAGCAGTAGTATCTCTGATACAACAGTCACAGCAGTAGTATCTCTGATACAACAGTCACAGCAGTAGTATCTCTGATACAACAGTCACAGCAGTAGTATCTCTGATACAACAGTACAGCAGTAGTATCTCTGATACAACAGTCACAGCAGTAGTATCTCTGATACAACAGTACAGCAGTAGTATCTCTGATACAACAGTCACAGCAGTAGTATCTCTGATACAACAGTAACAGCAGTAGTATCTCTGATACAACAGTAACAGCAGTAGTATCTCTGATACAACAGTAACAGCAGTAGTATCTCTGATACAACAGTCACAGCAGTAGTATCTCTGATACAACAGTCACAGCAGTAGTATCTCTGATACAACAGTACACAGCAGTAGTATCTCTGATACAACAGTCACAGCAGTAGTATCTCTGATACAACAGTCACAGCATAGTATCTCTGATACAACAGTCACAGCAGTAGTATCTCTGATACAACAGTCACACAGTAGTATCTCTGATACAACAGTCACAGCAGTAGTATCTCTGATACAACAGTCACAGCAGTAGTATCTCTGATACAACAGTCACAGCAGTAGTATCTCTGATACAACAGTAACAGCAGTACTATCTCTGATACAACAGTCACAGCAGTAGTATCTCTGATACAACAGTAACAGCAGTAGTATCTCTGATACAACAGTCACAGCAGTAGTATCTCTGATACAACAGTAACAGCAGTAGTATCTCTGATACAACAGTCACAGCAGTAGTATCTCTGATACAACGTCACAGCAGTAGTATCTCTGATACAACAGTCACAGCAGTAGTATCTCTGATACAACAGTCACAGCAGTAGTATCTCTGATACAACAGTCACAGCAGTAGTATCTCTGATACAACAGTAACAGCAGTAGTATCTCTGTAACAACAGTAACAGCAGTAGTATCTCTGTAACAACAGTCACAGCAGTAGTATCTCTGATACAACAGTCACAGCAGTAGTATCTCTGATACAACAGTCACAGCAGTAGTATCTCTGATACAACAGTCACAGCAGTAGTATCTCTGATACAACAGTAACAGCAGTAGTATCTCTGATACAACATCACAGCAGTAGTATCTCTGATACAACAGTCACAGCAGTAGTATCTCTGATACAAACAGTCACAGCAGTAGTATCTCTGATACAACAGTAACAGCAGTAGTATCTCTGATACAACAGTCACAGCAGTAGTACGATCTGAGTATCAACAGTCACAGCAGTAGTATCTCTGATACAACAGTCACAGCAGTAGTATCTCTGATACAACAGTCACAGCAGTAGTATCTCTGATACAACAGTCACAGCAGTAGTATCTCTGATACAACAGTAACGCAGTAGTATCTCTGATACAACAGTCACAGCAGTAAGTATCTCTGATACAACAGTCACAGCAGTAGTATCTCTGATACAACAGTCACAGCAGTAGTATCTCTGATACAACAGTCACAGCAGTAGTATCTCTGATACAACAGACACAGCAGTAGTATCTCTGATACAACAGTTCAACAGCAGTAGTATCTCTGATACAACAGTCAACAGCAGTAGTATCTCTGTACAACAGTAACAGCAGTAGTATCTCTGTACAACAGTCACAGCAGTAGTATCTCTGATACAACAGTCACAGCAGTAGTATCTCTGAAACAACAGTAACAGCAGTAGTATCTCTGATACAACAGTCACAGCAGTAGTATCTCTGATACAACAGTCACAGCAGTAGTATCTCTGATACAACAGTCACAGCAGTAGTATCTCTGATACAACAGTCACAGCAGTAGTATCTCTGATACAACAGTAACAGCAGTAGTATCTCTGTAACAACAGTAACAGCAGTAGTATCTCTGATACAACAGTAACAGCAGTAGTATCTCTGTAACAACAGTAACAGCAGTAGTATCTCTGTAACAACAGTCACAG